TAGGCCCTTCCTGGCAACACAAGATTTGTAAAGTAACACTGATGAGCTGTCAAGTTGCCCACCTGGTCACTACCCCTAACTAGATTTAAATGGATAGGTAGGGGGCCTGACAGCTGAGTGGACAGCGCTTCGGATTCGTTGTCCCAAGGTTCCGGGTTCGATCCCTGGAGGAGGCTGAAACAAATAGGAAGAGTTTCCTTCACCCTGATTCGCCTGTTCACCTAGCAGTAAATAAGTACCTGGGAGTTAGATAGCTGCTACAGACTGCTTCCTGGGGGTGTGTAACAAATGGCAGGCCTGGGTGAGGATCGGGTTGCAGGGACGCTAAGCCCTCGAAATCACCTCAAGATAACCTCAAGATATGGGGGAAACAGAAAGCTAGATCTCACTCCCCCATATTCATTAATAGGTAAGCACCACCTGATGGCAACACCCACACCAACATTTGATCTTTTGATTTAAGCCATAAGAAATTCTGTCTTATAAAAAGAAAAATGTCATGCACATGTGAATCAGGGACACAAACATGTATCCAATAAACTTGAAAGGACACTGGCAAGATAATAAGAATGAGAGTCATGCTAGAGACACCAAGGATGACCATTGGGGATTAAAAAAAAATCGATGGACCACCTCTGAAAGCTGCAGACAGCAGATTTAGCTTCTGAACTGGCCACAATATCCATGAAACTGTGAACAGTGGAGGTAGCCCCTACCGCTCCCCGGAGCTTACTAGGCTGATATGCTAATGTCAGACTTTGGCATCAGTCATGTGTAGGGGGGTTCTTATGGGCCTACTAGGGACCACGACCACCGTGGTTCCAGGGACCACCGGGGACTCCTCTTGCCCCTCTAGAGAGGCAAGAGGAGCAATGGCCTATAGAAACCCCTATGGAGTTGGAAGCATTCTATGTCTGCCATCGACCGGGTTAGGCACCCAGAAAGGTAAGCGTCCCAAAACACACCCCTTTTCTGGTAAGAAATGCAACCAAAACACGAACAAATGGATAGAACTCCCCAAACAAAACTAGCAAACTAGTATGACGTCACCCGTCGCCGCGCCGCTGTCTGCGCAGCTTCTCCTTCCCCGGGAGGGGGAAGGGGGAGCCCCAGACCTCCCACGCCGGCGATCCACACCCCAGTTCTTGAGGCTGATGCTATAGGCAGCGCTTGTGTGCTCTCGCTCCAGACTTTTGTGGCGCTGTGCTTTGTGTGTGGCAGCTGTTCTCCAGGGGTGCGAGAGCCAGGAGTTATTCTTCAGTACTCGGGCTGCATGCGCCTAGGGTTCCCTTCCCTTCCCTAGGTACCCTGTAAGTACTGCCCTTGGTGCATGGGGTTACCTTCCACAGGTTCTTTGGGATCTGCCTCTGTGGTCCATTTAACTGCTCGGTTTTCGGCTGCCCTTTGGGTGCTTGGGTGTTTTGTCTCCCTCGTTTACCTTAGGGTAAGTGGGAGTTTTGCACTGGTAAGGGGCGCAGGGTGCTGCGCAGCTTGTTGTCACCTATCACAGCAGCCGGCTCTGTTCCTTGGGGTACGTTGTTCTCTTGTGGGGTTTTGTTTTTCTTTTGTTTTTTTGGCCTTGGTAGGGGGTTCTGCCCTACTTGCCACTGGCGTTTGGCCTCTTGATACTTGGTGGTGCCCCCTGCTAGGTCCCCATGATTATACAGGTCCCTGGGGTTCAGCTGTAGAAAGTTTGTTTGGTAGTTTTGGGCGCCAGTTAGCAGTACCCTGCTTGGGCTTACCTGGGCACGAGTCCTCTTATAGTAAACGCTCAGGACCCTGGGAATCCCCTTGGGGATGTGTGGGTCTGATGGGTGTGACCCCAGAGTCCCCCTTCGCTTCGTGCAAGTTTGAGGGTTGTTCGGGTTCCCTTGTCTCAGGGCGAGCCTCACTGTTTTTGCCTCCGTCACGCTGCCTGTGGGTCGGTGACGTGGGTCGGTGACATTTTCACGTGCCTCACGCGGGTCATGGTGACCTGTCTGCGTCTGTTAGGTGTTCAGGTGTTGGCCTACCTCGACGGCTGGTTGGTTTGGGCTCCCAGCCAGTCCGCTTGTCTGCTGGCCAGGGATCTGGTTCTTTCTCAGCTCGCCGGGTTCGGGTTCTTGGTGAACTGGAGGAACTCCCATCTGGTTCCCTCCCAGGTTCGGACCTGGCTGGGCTTTGTGTGGGACTCTCGGGCTGCTTTCTTAACTCTACCTCCAGAGTCTCTTCTGTTGCTGTGGTCCCGCATGTGCCTGTTTCTGGGGGGCTCCTGGATCACCCGGCGGTTGCTCAAGGGTCTGTGTGGGAGCCTGAACTTCACGATGCTGGTCTACCTGCCAGGTTGGGTTTGGCTTCATCCGCTGTTTTGGTTCCTTCGGGGACGTCCCTATTGCCTCTCTCGCGATCGCTGGATTCAGACCCCGGGGACTTTACGTCGGTTGCTGTGTCGCCGGCTTCCTCTTCGGGTTTTTCGGGGTTCAGTGTCTTGGCGCTTACCCGAGCCCTTGCTCGATGTGTTCAAGGACGCGTCATCTCTCTGCTGGGGCTTTGTGACCAGTGCTCACCAGGCCAGCCAGGGACGGTTGGGTCCGTCCTTCCGTCAAGCCCACAGCACTGTGGGAGTTCGCGGCAGTGTGGTTTGCTCTTCTGAGGCTTCGAGTCGCCCGCGGGTTGACGATCCGGCTCCATTCTGACTGCTCCCCGGTGATTCATTGTCTGAACCGTGTCGATGCGGTCCTTGGCTCTTTGGCGCTGGTCGCTTCAGGTGACTCGTCTGCTGAGTTCTTGGGGTTTGGCTATCCTGGCAGTTCACGTGCGGGGAGTGTCCAACGTCTTAGCCAATGGCCTGTCTCATTTCAGTCCCCTCTCCACGGAATGGACAGTCAACGCCAACTCCTTCCGTTGGCTTTGCCAGACGTTCGGACGCCCCGAGGTGGACCTCTTTGCGTCGGCATGGTTGCGGCGCCTTCCCCTGTATGTGGCGCCCTTTCCCGACTGCGAGGCCGTTGGGGTAGACGTCTTAAGGCAGGACTGGTCGAGGTGGGGGTTCCTGTACCTCTTTTCCCCCGGTTCAGCTATTGCTCCAGGTCCTGACTCGCTTGGAGACTTATCAGGGGAGAGTTGTCCTCTTGGCTCCTTGGTGGCCCTCCCAGCCGTGGTTTCAGGCGCTGCTTGCTCGGTGTCTGAACCCAGTGGTTTTTCTGTGGGTCTGCCTCTTCCAGCAGATCGGACCGGCACGTCAAGTGGATGGTTCGATCTTCTCCTCGAGTCTTCGCGAATGGTATTTTTGACTTGAGTTTATCATCATCCCTTTGGTGATCAGGTGGCTTCCTTATTAGTGTTCCACCTGCGAGCTTCGTCTCGGCGGCAGTATGAAGTTTCCTAGCGGTCCTTCCGGTTCTTCTTACGTCTTCGTTGTTGTACTTCGCTTTCTGTTACGGTGGTGTTGTCCTTTGTCTCTTGCTTGTTCCAGAACCGTCTCCTTGTGCTTAACACTGTTGCCTTGTATCGTGCGGCGCTGGCAGAGCCGCTGCAGCTTGCTTTCGGTATTGATGTCACGTCTGCGCTGTTTCGCAAGCTTTCTTGGGCGTTGTTTCACCTCCGGCCTGCTCATGCGCCGCCTGAGCCATCCTGGTCATTGGAGGACAGAGTGCTCTCTTTTCTTTCTTCTCCTCGGTTTGTTGTGGCCCCTTTGGTTCCGGATTGTTTTTTGAAGGCTCTTTTCCTGTTGGCATTGGCCTCTGCAGGTCGGGTAGGTGAGCTTCATGCTCTCCTTCGGCGCAGAAGTTTCTGCTCCTTCGGTCGGGGTGATTGGCTTGTTCGTCTGCAGCCTTCTCCTTCTTTTCTGTCGAAGAATGAAACTGCTGCTTTCCGGAGAGGTCCCTGGGTTGTTGATGCTTGGTTGGTTAGGCTGGGAGTGCATCATGTTTTGTGTCCAGTTGCGGTTCTCCATCGTTATTTGCACGCCTTGGCTTCTGTGTCCGTGGACACGCTTTGAGTTGATCCGGTTTCCCTTCTTCCCTGTTCGAGGGTGCGGGTCTTCCAGGTCGTCCGCAGGGTTATTAAGGCTAGCCAGCCTGCGGTCTATCCCCCGTGCTCATGACGTCTGTAAGTTCGCGACTCTTGCTGCCGTCTTTGGCACTATGTCCTGGGCTGACATTCAGGCACGGGGATTTTGGCGGTCAAACAGGGTCCTGGCTGCTCGTTACCTTGTAAACGTTCCTGGGCCTAGTCGGGCCTGTGTCGCTTTGGGTCGGCAGATGCAGCCAGTTGTCTCGACTTCGGGTTGAGGAGTGAACAGCAACCGCCTCCCGAGTAAGTCCCTATTCTTTTTTCTGTGGGTAGTTAGCTCCGGGGAGCCGTAGGGGCTCCCCACAGAAAACCAGCGTTGAATGTAATGAAATGCCATTTTCTGGGTGAGTCATGGAGGCTCCCCGGCATCCCTCCCTCCCTCCGGTCGGCATTTTTTTCACGTGTTTTGACATCCGGCCTCAAAACTGGGGTGTAGATCGCCGGCGCAGTGGGTCTGGGGCTACCCCTTCCCCCTCCTGGGAAGGTGGGGAGCTGCGCATGACAACGGGTGACGTCATACTAGTTTGCTCGTTTTTGTTTGGGGAGTTCTATCCACTCGTTCGGCTTTTGGTTGCAATTTTCACCAGAATCGGGGTTTGTTTTGGGATGCCTACCTTTCTGGGTGCCTAACCCGGTTGATGGCAGACAGAATGCTTCCAATCACACGGGGATTTCTATAGGCCATTGCTCCCCTTGCTCCTCTAGAGGGGACCAGGTTCTAGCTTGTGGTCCCCAGTAGGCCCATAAGAACTCCATACACATGATTGATGCCAAAGTCTGACATTAGCATATCATCCAAGTAAGATCCGAGACTGGCCCAGAAAATGGCGTTTCATTACATTCAACGCTGCTTTTTTTTTATTCAGCAGTGAATGGGTTAATCTCTACACCAATGTCTAATAATAAACATAGTAATGTAACCTAATAATTGCTTTTTACTTTTTCAGATTCAAGCCCAAGCTCAATCTCTTCAGCTACCTCAGAGTTTCCTGTTCTCTGTTGACACTGAACTGAAGGACACACTGCAAACTTTCGCTGGGAAATTGTAAGAATTTTTTAATTTTTTAAATAATATTGAATGACTACTATCAGCATAATGAGTAAGAGAGATGCAAGAAAAAATTGTGTACAGTGTATTACAAAGTGAAGTAAACGGCTGAGCATGAACCTGGACACCTGACAAAAAGCAGGTGACCATGACCAATCAACACCTCTAAGAGATCAGACAAAATGCTAAAACATCTTGAATCCAAGCCTTTCCTCACTATGTCATCACTGAGGCGACCCTTGACCATGACCAGTTGTAGGAGCTTGCAGCACTCTGCTGAGCAAAAGAAGCTGATCCTGACTTAAACCTGAGCATTTGGTGAAGGGATCTGGAAGGCCACTGGCCAAAACCTTGGCCACCTCATCCTCTGAGAGAAGAGAACAGGTGAGAATTGTGAAGTAAACAAGAGACAGTGACCACATTGACAGTCAACAAGTGATCATTTTGACTGACAGTAATGACAAACAGGGCACCACTCTAGGGACTTTCACTTCCATCTGCGAATGTGAAGAAAAGATCTCTTGGGCCGCAATATAATGTATCACTTCTGCCAGCCAAGTTCATGCCTAATGATCAAGAGAAGCAAAGCTGATAGTAACTTGAAAACTGGAATGTAAAGCTGCCATTCTCTGGTGTCCCGGGGCATGACAGGCACATGGTGCTTTTAAATATTACTACTGTGTTAATGCCACTAGAAAAAGACATTTCATTACATTCATCACTGATTTTTTTTTACACCTTTTTGAGTTTTTAATATTTTATCATATACAATATTCATATTTTATTTTATTAATTTGGCACCAATGACTTTACCATTATCATTATTTATTTGGTGCCAATGACTACTGGAATGGTGCTAGAGAAATTACAGTACCTAGCAGTATTGTAGCCTTCAACCCGCATCTTTTCTAATTTAGTTCTTCCTCACCAGAGCTTATATTGTAACATCCATTTTCCTTTCTTGATTCAACTTACCACTAACTGGCAAAAATTCCACTTTTGTCAATCATATGCTCCAGGTATTGAAATTAACTAGTTGCTTCTAGCACTTCTCCATTCATTTTATGTTTCTATGAGGAGCCCCTTTGGATCCCTAGAGCTATCAGGCTAATATGTGATACATTAGAGCAGGGCTTTAGTCAATGGAGTTCTGCCTACTGGGGACCAAGAGCCAGAACCTGGCCCCCCCTCAGAGAGGTGCAGGGAGTAGTGAACCTGAAAAAAAAACTTGTGGTTGGGGGTTTACCTTATCTGCCAGCGACCAGAGTTAGGCAACCAGAAAGGTAGGCGTAACAAAACAGGCCCCACAAGGTAAGAAAAATGTAAACGAAAGCTGAACAGAGAGGTAGAGCTCCCTCAATTTCCAAGGAAACAAGCAAACATCACACCACGGTATCGCGTCGCTCGTCAATGCAGCCCCTCCCCCCCTCCCTTGCGCTACCCAGCAACTCCAGTTCGTTGGCTAAAGCGATCCAGGGTGGACGTCATCTCTGGCCTCGGTGTCAAAGCAGCGTTTACCTTCGTGCTGTCCTCTGCAATGTTGTATGTGGTGGCCAGGTGTCTTCAAGAGCACTGGGACTTCTTGCGCTTGGAGACATTCTTCCCTAAATGCCCTGTGAGTACTACTTTTGCATGTTAGGGGTTCTCCTTCCTGGTGCATTTGGGAACCAATTCCTTAAGGGTTTTTGCTGCTCAGCACTTACCCCACCCTTGGGACCAGCTGGGGTTTTGTAGCCCTTGTTTGGCCTTGGGTAGGAATTGGTATCATGCTGGTTGGGGCATCAAGGTGTTGTGCAGCCTGCCTACCTTGGTGGCAGCCAATTCCTGTTTCCTCTGGGGACGTTGTACTTTAGTGTGGTTTTTCTTTTGTTTTTGTTTTCCTTGCCTTTTTCTTGGGGGGTCTACCTGGTGTGGCTATGGTTTCACTTATAATATGTTGGTGGTCCTTCGCTAAGTCCCCACGATTGTACACATCACAGGAATTTCAAAGTTTTGACCTTTGTTAGCTTGGATCTTAACTAGCTAGCAACACCTTGCACGAGCTTCCCATAGCAGACAACCTACGGACCCTGGAAAACCCTGTCGGGGCTATGTGGACCTGTGGATGCGTCTTCCGAGTTCCAGCTCACCTTGTGCGAGTTTGAAGGTGCACATGTGCCCATGTGTCTGTGTGTCCTTGTCTCAGGGTAACAGTCACCATTTTTGGCTCCGTCATGCTTTCTGTTGGGTCACCGACACCTTTGACCTGGAGTGATGTGAGTTGTGGTATCTGCATGTTCTCCAGTTACCCATTCTGATAACATTGATGTGTGGGTACAGGCGGCATCTGGGTTGCATGCTAGGTTAGGGTGCTGCAACGCACTATGTTGGTTGTCCACTCGGATGCTCCGAAGCTGCCCAGTTTTGGTTAGCCGTTGTTCGCCCTGCTCCCCCTCCCCCCTGTTCCCAGCTCCAACATGTCTGAGGGTTTCGGGGTTGGGGCAGGGTTTAGTTCTGGGTGAGACTCAGGCTGCTTTGGGGGCTGCCGCATTCGGGTTGGGGACGGAGGCATTCGAGCCTGCTTCTCCTCCTGAGGCTTCTGGGTCCTACCAGTAACCCCCTTCTTTGCTACATATCCCCTGGATTCTGCCTTTTCCTCAGGGGTGGAAGGCATAGAGGATGGCTCATCCCCGGGGACTCTGTTTTGGGTTCCCAGGGCTGTGGGGGAAGCCCGCTAGCAGTTCTGGGGCTGTTTGCCCCTGCTTGGGCTTCGTGCCTTCTGGGCAGGTTTTTTTTTGTCCCTCCTCATGTCTGCTTTAAATTCTCATGTTTGCTGGCATGGTTTCGACACTCTTGCATCAGCCGTGTCTCCTTTTGTTTTGGTGGCCAATTTCTTTTCCTGTCTCTTCCCCGCCAGGCCGCCAGGGTGGCACTTCGGTTTGTTCGTTTACATGTGCCTGTGAGTGTGCGCTTGCGTTTTGGGGGTAGTTTTGTTCTCCCGCTGCCGTTTCTGTTATGTTCTTTCTTCTGGATATTCTGCCCTTTTTCTGTTCCTCTGGAAACACTTGGGTGTTGTTTTTTCTCCCGGTTTAAAGTTTTCTGTCTTTGGATGGGTCTAAGCCTTGGGTTTTGGACTCAGTGTCCCTGACCGTTTGCTCTGCTTTGTCCCATGCCTTTTATCCCTCAGTTTTCGGTTCGTTCTGGCTGTTTACCCGGGGATTCAGTCTGGGTAATGTGTTTTACCCTTCTTTTCTGTGGTGCATTTCTGCTGCCAATTGTGGTGGTTTGGGTGCCCCCCCAGGTTTGATTCTGTGTTCCTTTGGGCTCTTCAGCTTCATTCCAGAGGTTTTCTTCCTTTTGGGTCCCCTTTGGGGGTTCTGGAGGCCCTTGGTTACCTCCTGTGTGCCCTGGACTTCCTCTTCTGGGGTTCCTTGGTCTTCCCGACCTGCAGACTGCACTTTGGGTCTTGACACATGTTTTTGTGGTCATGCCTGTGGTACTTTTTCTGTTTGTTGAGGTGCTTTGGTGCAGCTTTTGTGCCGGTGCCTCCTATGGTGCCTTCTTTATCTGGCCAGTGCAGTGCTTGCTCTGCTCGCATGTCGGATTCTTGCTTTTCTTTTCTTGTTTTCTTAAAAAAAAATACTCGGAAAGGGCACCAGTCCCTTCGCAGGTCGCTAGGGTGGGAGGCTCGCTTTGTTTGCTGACACCTGGTCCCGCAATATGTGGGCATTCGGGTCGTGTCCTCCGGCCTGTGGTGGCATTGGGATGCTCCTCCTTCGGGGGGGTTCGGGGCTGATGGGGTTTCTTCCCCTGCGCTCCATCAGGCCATCCTGGTGTGGGTGCGCTTGGGCGTGGTTGACACGCCCACATCCCACTAGTGGGTTTCCAGCCAGTTTTCGTGCCAAATAGCACTGTGCTATTCTGCGCTTCATTCTGGACTTGTCCCATTTGAGCCCCTGGATTCCTTGTCTTTCCTTTTGGATGACCACTCTGTCTCAGGTCTGGCTTCTGTTGGAGCCTGGTGCCTGGGTGACACCAAGCTCCAACAGAAGCCAGACCTGAGACAGAGCAGTGCATATTAGCATGTTCCCATCTCCAGGGTTCAGGGACTACTTTGTTTCATGGTGGGGCATCTGGCTTACTGCTTTTGTTGCCTTCCTTTTGGCTTGAATCTTGCACCTCATGTGTTCCCCATCTTACCCAGGTCATGGTGGCCTTTCTGTGTCTGCTACAGGTTCGGATTCTGGCCTACCTCGACGACTGGTTAGTGTGTGCTCCCAGCTGGTCTGCTCGTCAGGGGTGTGGTTCTTTCCCAGCTCACCAGAGGTGTGGTTCTTTCCCAGCTCGCCAGGAGTGTGGTTCTTTCCCAGCTCGCCTGGTTTGGGTTCCTGGTGCACTGATAGAAGTCCCATCTAGTTCTGTCCCGGGTTTGGACCTGGCTGGGTCTTGTTTGTGACCCTCAGACTGGTTCCTTGTCTCACCCTTCGGAGGTGTTGCTGCTTCTGCGGTCCCGCCTTCCGCTGTTCTGAGGGAGGTCCCGGGTTACGAATGGACTGATATGGCCTGTCTCGGTTCATTCCCCTGTCACGGAATGGATGGTCGACGCCGACTCCTTCAGTTGACTCTGCCGGACATTTGGGCTCCTGGGGGTGGACCACTTCGAGTCGGCATGGCCATGGTGTCTCCCATTTATGTGGCGTCCTTCCCCGATTACGGAGTTTTTGTGGTGGACGCCCTTCGGCAGCACTGGTCGAGGTTATGGGTTCCCTGTACCTCTCCCCCTGGTCCAGCTGCTGCTTCAGGTTCTGGCTCAGTTGGAGTCTTTCCACGGGAGTCATCCTAGTAGCCACTTGGTGGCCGGCCCAGCCTTGGTTTCTGACGCTGCTTGCTCGGTGTCCACACCCTGGGCATTTTCCATGGCTCTGCCTCTTTCAGCAGCTCGGACCAGTCTGGTACACGACTAGTTTGGCCTTCTCCTTCGCTCTTCGCGTCTGGTCTTTTTTGTCACAGGTTTATCACCATTTGTATGATGATCAAGTGGCTTTGTTAAAGGTGTCCCATCTGAGAGCTTCGTTTTGACAACATTTTTTAATTTCCTGGCATTCTTTCTGCCATTTTCTCTCTTCTACTGTTTCTGATTGGGTTGTCTCATCCTGACTGTTTTGGCTCTTTCAGGACTGTCATTTAATGCCTGCTACTGTCGCCTCGTATCGTGCGGCGCTGGCGGAGCCATTGTAGCTTGCGTTCGGGGTCAGTGTCACTTCTGCCCGATTCCGTAAGCTTTATCGTGCTTTGTTTCACCTCAGACCTACTCATGCGCTGCTTGAGCCGTCATGGCCTTTGGACAGGGTGCTCTCCTATCTCTTTTCCTTGGTTCGTGGTGGCCCCCCTTTGGTTCAAATTTTTTTTTCTGAGGCTCTCTTTCTGTTGGCATTGGCCTCTGGGGGTCGGGTCAGTGAGCTTCATGCTCTCCTCCGGCTCAGGGGTTTCAGCTCTTCAAGTCCTGGTAGTTGGTTTCTTCTCTTGCAGCTTTGTTCCTCTTTTCTGGGGAAGAATGAGACGACTGCTTTCCAGAGAGGTCCTTTGGTCATTGATGCTTGATTGGTCAGGCCAGGGGTGCATCATGTCTTGTTCGATTGCGGCTCTTCACTTCTCCAAAGCGCATCCTCAGCTTCTGTGGCCGAGGATGCGCTTTGGGTTCATCTGGTTTTCCCTTGTTCCCTGTTCCCAGGCTCGTGTCTCCCAGGTCGTCTGCATGGTTCTGAAGTCTGGCCAGCCTGCAGTCTATCCTCATACCCATGACGTTCAGATGTTTGCTTCTAGGGATGCCATCTTCGGTGACATATCTTGGGCTGTTCTGGGGGTTTTGGAGGTCGTACAGGGTCCTGACCGCCCGATATTTGGTTCATATTCCTGGTCCTTGGCGTTCATGTGTTGCTTTGGGTCTCAGGTTGCAGCCAGTTGTCTCGCTTTTGAGTTGAGGAGCGTGTGGTGGCCGCCTCCCGGGTTATCTTGAGGTTATCTTGAGATGATTTTGGGGCTTTTTAGTGTCCCCGCGGCCCGGTCCTCGACCAGGCCTCCACCCCCAGGAAGCAACCCGTGACAGCTGACTAACACCCAGGTACCTATTTTACTGCTAGGTAACAGGGGCATAGGGTGAAAGAAGCTCTGCCCAATGTTTCTTGCCGGCGCCCGGGATCGAACTCGGGACCACAGGATCACAAGTCCACCGTGCTGTCCGCTCGGCCGACTGGAGGGACACACCGGGTGTGTCCCTCTTTTACGTATCCTTGGCTATGTAGCTCCAGGGAGCCGAAAGGGCTTCCCACAGAAAACCAGCGTTGAATGTAACGAAACGCCATTTCATAGGTGAGCCCTGGAGGCTCCCTGGCACCCTCCCTCCCTCCCTCCCTCCCTCCGGTCGGCGGTTTTCACGTTGTCTTGATGCTTAGCATTTGAACTGGAGTTGCTTGGTAGCCAGTGGGGGGGTCCGGGGAAGGGGAAGGGGAAGATGTGCGGACGTGCGACGTGACAGTGTGGTGTGATGTTTGCTTGTTTTCTTGGAAATTGAAGTTCTGCCTCTGTTCGGCTTTCTTTTGTATTTTTCTTACCTTGTGGGGTTTGCAGACGCGGAGTCACAAAAATGTGGCTGAAATATGTTGACCAAACCACACACTAGAAAGTAGAGGGACAGACCGAAATGTCATCATCCCTTCACTTTCTAGTGTGTGGTTTGGTTAACTTGTGGGGTTTGTTTTGTTTCACCTACCTTTCTGGGTGCCTAACCCCAGTCAATGGCAAGTAAGGTAAACCCCCAACCACAGGGGAGTTTTACAGGGTCATTGCTCCCTGCACCGCTCTGAGAGGGGTGTTCAGGTTCTGGCTTGTGGTCCCAGGTAGGCAGAACTCCACTGACTAAAGCCCTGGTCTAATGTATCGCATACTAGCCTGATAGCTCCAGGGAGCCTCCGGGCCTCACCCAGAAAATGGTGTTTCATTACAATCAACGCTGGTTTTTTCTTTTTTCCCAGATTACTAGAAGTAAGCAATGATATTCCATCAGTAGTGTCACAAGTGCTGCTGACACAGTATTGTAGCGTGCTGGTCCAGCGACTGCGGGACAACCACCCAGTGCTGCCACAGACGCCCACCAAGCTGCCTCAGAGCAAAGTTTCGGTGAGATTTTAGTATAGTTTACAGTTGGTTACCTGATGTGTTTCTTATGTATCCGAGTTCATTATTCACTATTGGGCATTTAATTAAAAGAAAGAATCATAATCATATGAAGAAATAAGGTACAGGAAATATTTATTTATTGTTGTTGTGTTGATTTTGGCTCTAACAGAGGATAGGTGGCAATGAAAAGAAAGTTTTAGATTTTAACTTTTTAAATTATATTTTTGTATGCCTTAAAATCTTTGCATATTTCTAGCTTTTGCTCCATAATGGTGCACAGTTCAGTAGAATTCAAAACATGAACAATTCATATCCATATTCATATGATATGTGAGTGTACAAATTTAATACATTTTCTTATTTGGTATGAAAATCAACCTTGAATTTGCCATTATTTTGGTCTCCTGCTGTGAGATTGCATTTCTAGCCAGAGTTTGCTATGATTTGCATAGGATATATGTGTATTACTGTTCCTGTAGTGATTTTAACAATTAAAACTAATTGTTAGAACTATGCGACCTAGATTATGCCTCGCTTATGGATCCGTCTTCTTTCATGTTTGGGCCGTCGTTCCCTTTCTGGGTCTGTTACGAGGTTCCGGAGTTGTCCTGGCTGGCGGATTGTCTTGTGTTTGCTTTGGAGGCTTGGCATTCCTTCTGTCATTCCTGCACGCTTGAGTGGCACAAGGCTTCGACGGTGGTTCAGGTTTTCCTGGGGGGCGACTTTGAGCCTCAATGAGTGCTTGTTTGCCCCGGCCCTTTCCCAGGAGGTTGGCGTAGTGCAGTTCCATGTGCAGGTTACCTCCCTTTCGGCTGCGCAGGTTGCTGAGGACTTGCGCGCCCGTGGCCTCTTGGCTTTGGCCTTGCGTTTCTTTTCTCTTCTGGAGCTGTCTTCGGACTGGCTTGCGGAGGATATGAGGATGCTTGGGGCCGTTCCTGGGTCCGGTGCCTTGGGCTTGGTGGCTCGTTCGTCGGCTGCCTCGTTGAAGCTCTTTGCGCCGATCTTGCAGGATGCGGTTTCACTGTTTTATGCTTCCCGGCTCACGTGTTGGCAGGCGGTGCTGGCCTCCTCTCAGGAATCAGCCTGGGATCTGGCTCTTAGGATGTTTTGCCTTTTTGTCCTCTGCTTTTTGAGGATTCTTATGTGGTGCAGTATATACAGGCTGCTTCGCCGACTTGTCGCCCCATGTCTGACTTGTTGGTTCTCCGGGGGTCCCAGGGGGGGAAGGGGGGGGACCTTCCCGGAGGGGTCGTGCCAGGGCTCGGGGTTCCTCTCGTCGGGGTCGGCTATAGGTGCCAGTTTCGGGTCCGGTGCCGCCTTTGAACCCGCCTTCGTCTGGTCGGCGCAGTGTTCACTCTGTGCGGGGTTCTGGGCCTCGTAAGGGGCGCTGGCCCTTTCGAAGTTCACCCCATGCGGGGCGATAGGGGGGGGGAGGCTTGTGCTGTTCGTTCACGCCTGGTGGGTTCACTTGGGCGTGGTTGAAACGACGACGACGACGTCCATCAGATGGGTTTCTTGTGTGTTCCCAGTTCCGAAACGGGACTGTGCTGACCTGCGGTTCATTCTGGACTTGTCCTGTCTGAAGACCTTGGTTCATTGCCCCCTCCTTTTGGATGACTGCGCTGTCCCAGGTTCAGCTTCTTTTGGCGCCAGGCTCTTGGATGGTGTCCCTGGACCTCCGGGACGCTTACTGGCACGTCCCGATTCATCCGGGGTTCAGGGACTGGCTTGGTTTTGTTGTGGGGCATCAGGGTTACCACTTTCGTTGTCTCTCTTTCGGGTTGAACCTGGCACCTTGCGTGTTCACACGCTTTACCCGGGTCGTTGTGGCTCGTTTGCGTCTCTTGGGTGTTTGGGTGTTGGCCTACCTCGACGACTGGCTGGTTTGGGCTCCCAGCCAGTCGGCTTGCTTGCTAGCCAGGGATTTGGTTCTTTTCCAGCTCGATGGGTTCGGGTTCTTGGTGAACTGGAGGAAGTCCCATCTAATTCCTTCCCAGTTTCGGACCTGCCTGGGCCTTGTGTGGAACTCTCGGTCCGCATCCTTGTCTCTTCCTCCGGATTTTCTCCTGTGGTTGCAGTCCCGCTTGCACTTGTTTCTGGGAGGCTCCCAGGTCACCTGGCGGTTGCTCGAGGGTCTGTGCGGTTAACCTGAACTTCGCGATGATGGTCTGCCCGCCGGGTCGGGTTTGGCTCCGTCAACTGTTCTGGTTCCCTCGGGGACATCCCTTCTGCCTATCTCGCAATCACTGGGTTCAACCCCCGGGGGTCTTGCGTTGGCTGCTGCGTCGCCGGCTTCCTCTTTGGATTTTTCGGGGTTCAGTGCCTTGGCGCCTGCCCGAGCCCTTGCTCGATGTGTGCATGGACGCGTCGTCTCTCGGCTGGGGCTTCGTGACTAGTGCTCACCAGGCTGGTCAGGGACGATGGGGCCCGTTCTTTTGTCGAGCCCACAGCACGGTTTGGTTTGCTCTTTGGAGGGTTCGGATCGTCCGCAGATCGACGATCCGGCTCCATTCCCACTGCTTCCCGGTGGTTCATTGCCTGAACCATGGGAGTTCGATGCGATCCTTGGCTATTTGGCACTGGTCGCTTCGGGTGACTTGTCTGCTGAGTTCTCAGGGTTTGGCTCTCCTGGCTGTTCGTGCAGGGAGTGTCCAACATCTTGGCCAACGGCCTGTCTCATTTCGTTCCCCTGTCCACGGAATGGATGATCGACGCCGACTCATTCCATTGGCTTTGCCAGACGTTCGGGCGCCTCCTAGGAGGACATCTTTGCGTCGGCGTGATCGTGGCGCCTTTCCCTGTATGTGGCACCCTTCCCCGACTGCAAGGCCGTCGGGGTCGATGCCTTTCGGCAGGACTGGTCAAGGTGAGGGTTCCTGTACCTCTTTTTTTTTTTTGCCCGGTTTATCTGTTGCTCCAGGTCCTGACTCGCTTAGAGACTTACCAGGTAAGAGTAGTCCTCTTGGCCCTGTGGTGGCCTGCCCAGCCGTGGTTTTAGGTACTGCTTGCTCGGTGTCCGAACCTGGAGGTTTTCCCATGGCTCCGCCTTTTCCAGCAGATCGGATTGGAACGTCACGTGGCTGGTTTGATCTTCTCCTCAAGACTTCACGTTCGGTATTTTTGACTCGAGTTTATCATCATCTCTATGGTGATCAGGTGGCTTCCTGGTTGGTGTCCCACTTGCGGGCTTTGTCTCAGCGGCAGTATGAAGTTTCCTAGCGACCTTCCGTGTTTTTTTTGTTTTTTTGCATGTTCATCGTTGTGCTTCGCTGTCTGTTGGTGGTGTCCTTTTTCTCTTGGGTGTTCCAGAACCGTCATCTTATGCCTAACACTGTCGCCTCATATCTTGCGGCGCTGGTGGAGCCGCTTCAGCTTACTTTCGGTATTGATGTTACGTCTGCGCCGTTTCGCAAGCTGTCGCAGGCGTTGTTTCACCTCCAGCCTCCTCATGCACCACCTGAGCCGTCCTGGTCATTGGACAGAGTGCTCTCTATTCTTTCTTCTCCTCGGTTTGTCACCCCTTCGGTTCAGGATTGTTTCTCGAAGGCTCTTTTTTTCTGTTGGCATTGACCTCTGGGGGTAGGGTCAGGGAGCTTCATGCTCTCCTCCGGTGTAGGGGTTTCTGCTCCTTCGGTCGTGGCGATAGGTTTGTTCGTCTGCATCCGTCTCCTTTTCTGGCAAAGAATGAGACTGCTGCTTTCCGGAGGGGTCCTTGGGTTGTTGATGCTTGGTTGGTTAGGCCGGGGGTGCATCATATTTTGTGACCGGTAGCGGCCCTATGCCGGTATTTGCGCGCCACGGCTAATGTGTCCAAGGACGCGCTTTGGGATGATCTGGTTTCCCTTCTCCCCTGTTAGCGGGTGCGGGTCTCCCAAGTTGTCCGCAGGATTATTAAGGCTAGCCACCCTGCAGTCTATCCCTGTTCTCATGACTTTCGTAAGTTTGCTGTTCTTGCTGCCGTCTTCGGCAACATGACCTGGGCTGACATTAGGGCGCGGGGATTTTGGTGATCCAACAGGGTCCTGGCTGCTCGATATCTCGTGAACGTTCCTGGGCCTAGTTGGGCTTTGGGTCGGCAGTTGTAGCCAGTTGTCGCGACTTCGAGTTGAGGTGTGTGAGCAGCGACTGCCTCCCGGGTAACGCCTCTATTTTTCCTCTGTGGGTAGTTAGGTCCGGGGAGCCGTAGGAGCTCCCCCAAGAAAAGCAGCATTGATTGTAATGAAACGCCTTATTCTGGGTGAGACCCAGAGGCTCCCCGGCAACCCTCCCTCCCCCCGGTCGGCGGTTTTCGCGTGTTTTGATATCCAGCCTCAAAACTGAAGGGTGGATGGCGGCACAGGGGTCTAGGGTTCCCCCTTCCCCCTCCCGGAGAGGGGGAAGCTGCACAGACAGCAGCACGGCGACGTGTGATGTCATGCTCGTTTGCTCGTTTCTTTTTGGGGAGTTCTATCCACTAGTTTGTTGCAATTTTCATTAGAATAGGGGTTTGTTTTGGAATGCTTACCTTTCTGGGTGCCTGACCTGGTCAATGGCAGACATAGAATGCTTCCAACAACACAGGGGTTTCTATAGGCCATTGCTCCCCATGCCTCTCTAGAGGGGGCCAGGGGCCAGATTCACTAAAGCACTTACGCAAGCACCTACGAACCTGTACATCTTTTCTCAATCTTTGGCGGCTTTGTTTCCAATTATTAAACAGTTAATGAGCTCCAAAACACCAGGAGGCTGTTTATAACAATGACAACAGTTGAATGGCAAGTTTTCATGCTTGTAAACTGTTTAATAAATGTAACCAAAGCTGTCAAAGATTGAGGAAAGATGTACACATTCATAAGTACTTGCCTAAGTGCTTTCGTGAATCTGGCCCCAGGTTCTCGCTTGTGGTTTCTAGTAGACCCACAGAACTCCATACACATGACTGATGCTAAAGTCTGACATTAGCATATCAGCCTGGAAAGCTCCGGGGAGCCTCTGGGTCTAACCAAAAAAATAGCGTTTTA